CCCGAGCAGCAGCTGTGCAGACGCCCTCGGGAAGCTGCTGCCGTCAGAGCCTCCGGGTCCCGGTCCCCTGCGGAGAGGTCTTCACAGGAAGGGGCCGTTCCCTCCTGAGGCAGCCCCGTGTCTGGCCCAGTCCCACACACAGTGGGCGCCCGGTGACACCGATGAACAGGTGAAGGGTCTCCCCGACGTCGGTGGGGGCCGTCAGGTGGCAGGCAGTGGAAAAGGGGCCCTTTCAGGATGAAAGCTTGGCGAGGGCGTTGGTTGTTGGTGGCAGTAAGGGGCCCGGAAGTGGCCCTGATGAGCGGAGTCCGCCCGCGCATCCTCCCGGGTGGTTCGGGCACTGCTGCAGTCGGAGTGGCCGTGGGCTCGGGAGGGCTTCGCAGGGGTCGGGAACGGGCGCTGGAATGGACCGGCGGGGATGAGGCGGCCGGAACACAGGGACCACCAGCGTGCATCCTGGTGTGTGTCTGCTGGGGGTGTGCTGGGTCCTCCGTGCGCGTGTGTGTCCCCGAGGGGTGTTGGGGGAGGTGGTGTGTGGCGGGTGCTGGCGCTGTGGGCACTGCTGGGGTGGTGGTTGTAGGTAGCTGCTGGGACACAGTGGCTTTGGGGTTGGGTTTGAGGAGCAGGGGTCTGCTGCTGGGCGCGTCCCACCACCGCTCCGCTGCCTCTCCGAGCCCCTCTGCATGGGGAGAGAGGAAGCCTAGAACAGCCGGGTTCAAGTCCACCTCTGACACTGATTAGCTGTGCAGCTGAAGACAAGTTACTTAACTTCTCTGTGCCTCCGTTTCCTCATCTGCAAAATGAGAATAATAATCGAACCTACATCATAGCGACGTTTCGCTCACAGGAGTTGGTAAGTGTAAAGCCCCCAGAGCGGCGCGGTGCACGCCGTGGGCCATGCAGCTTCCCCACTGCCGCCGTTCCGGGGCTGCCTTGCTCTTGTTCCCGCTTCTCCTCCGTGCGCTGGGTGCTTTCTGCCTCCTGGTCCTCAGTTTCTCTCCCTCCCGCTCGTTTCCGTGCCCTGTTGTGGTGGTTCTTTGTTGTTTTGGTCTTTTGACCCCGTGCTCAGCTCGGCCTGTTGCCCTGTGAACATCTGTTGCCTTTGCGGCACAGCCATGAGACCCGCAGCGCCGTCCCCACAGATTGCCGGTCTGCACGGGCAGAGGTGGAGGCCGAACTGCGGCTGTGCCAGTCACCCCCTCCTGGGATGGCTTTCCAGGCCCGTCTGCCGCAGACTCCTGGGCACCCGAGCATAGGGCCAGGGCTGGCACCCGCCCTGCTCCGGAGTGATGGCTGTTTGCCTCCTCTTTCCCCTCCCTCTCTGGGGACGGCGGGCTGCTGGGCAGGGCTGGGACCCTCTCTGTAGCTTCTTGGTCTGGGGCGCTGCCTGGCCCAGGTAGGCACTCACTCGGTGCCTGTGAGTGGAGAAATTCATCAGGACAGGACTCATTTTGTGCCAGATCTAAACCGTGGAAAGGGCTAGGCACCTGGTGTTTATTTCTAGATCTCGTTGGTTTGAGGGATGAGTGGCTGACGGTGGTAGCGGGGTGTGCAGAGAGGGGAGGCCCTGGTGTCCTCGCTGACTGAGCCATTGGGAGGTGGCCCTTGGAAGAAGCACTTCTTTCCGACCTGGTTACCTTTTCTGCTGAACAAGGAGGCTGGCTAATTAGATGCCTTCATCCGCTCCGCTGCTGTAACCGAGTTCCCTACACCGAGGGGCTTAAACCACAGGCGTTTATTTCTCCTAGTTCTGGGGCTGGAAGTCTGAAATCAAGGCGCTGGCAGATCCAGAGTCTGGTGAGACCCACTTCCTGGTTCCTCACATGGTGGAGAGCAGAGCGCAGGGGCTCCCGTGTCTCCTCTGAGCCACAAGGGCACTAGTCCCATCGTGGGGGCTCCACCCTCATGACCTCATCCAACCTGATCGCTGCCAAAGGCCCCGCCTCCAGATCATCCCACTGGGTTAGCATCTCCACGTATGAATTTGGGGACACAAACATTCAGCCCATAGCAGACAGTCTCTAGTCGGGGTGTTGCAAGTGCTGTCACCCACGTGTGGATCACTTGGGCCGTGCGCAGTGGGTCGGGGCTGGCCTCTGCCCAGAGCTCGGAAGCCGGGGCCTCTGAGCCCAGGAGCGAGAGCGGGAGCTCGGGTGGCAGACGTGCCGGGTGAGGTTGGAAACTAGCGCCCAGGGGTTTCTTCTGAATTTCACTGTCTGTTCCACCAGTTTTACTATTAACTGGTACAATTTAAGGAAAAATTAACCTGTAGGTTGGATTACAGAATGTGATTATTAGGTATCAAGATATTACTAGTATGAATTAGAAACTATTTTTAATCGATAGAAGAACATGGCAGTAAGAGTCTAATAGAAATGTTTGGGTAAACCACCTACAAGACTGTCATTGAATATTGTGTCACACAGTGTTGTGACTCCATGGTGGTCGGATGAATCATGGAGTAATTCTGCATATAAAACTGGGAAATTATTTTTTTCATACAGGCAACATCTGTTACTGTTTGGAAGAGAAAGCCGGGGTTTTTCTGTTCCTGGAGGAACCAGGAGGGCCTCGCTAACCCTGTCCCAGTGAGTTCACGGTGACAGCCTACACTGCCGGGAGCCAGACGCTGTTGTGAGCATTTTTCAGGTGGGATGTGTCACGCGTGCACTGCATCCCCTCGCCCCACCAATAGGGTGATTCCCCTTTTGCGAGTTTTCCAGTGGTTGCTGAAACAAGTGACCACAAACTCAGTGGCTTGAAACAACTCAGATTTACGCCCTTACAGTCTGGGACCAGGAGTCCAGAATCAGTGTCGCGGGCGGAGGCCGGGTGCAGGCAGGGCTACTTCCTCCTGGAGGCCCCCGGGGAGGCCCCTTCCCCCACTTCCAAGCCCGTTGCTCTGCTCTCTGACTCCCCCCTCCCACCGCCCTCCCATCTCCCTCTGCCAGGACCCTGTGATCACGGCCCCCCCTTCCCGCCCTCGGCGAATCCAGGGTGACCTCCCATCTCGGGACCCTTCACTCCATCACATCTGTGAGGTCCCCTCAGCCACGTGAGGTGACAGGTTCCAGGGATCTGGACGTGGCGTCTCTGGGGTGTTGTGTAGCCCACACCCCTTTAGAGGATCCAATGAGAAGACCCTGAAGCATAGTTCATGGCAGACTTTTAATATACACATTTTTAATGATGAATATTAAATAGTTAAATTCCAGTCCTAATATTTAAATGATTAATTTAGCATCACTTAGATATTGAATAACATGGTAGTTTATAAATAAATTGCTCTTTTCACTCTTATTGTCATGAAATAATTCTACTCAAGCATGCGTCCTACACGTCAGTGTTTTGTCACTTGCAGCTGCTCCTGGAGTCACCGAATAGTATACTTTCCATTTTGTCCAGTTCTTTCACTTTTTGGTGCATATACCTCAGTTACTCTGAGTTACACTTCTGTTACTGGAAACTTTATCCCAAGACGTGAGAATTTCTCCTGACAACTTTAAAACAATTATTTAAAAAACACATACTCTTTAAAAAACATGTTCTCTTATGTTTTGGATCTTCACAATACAATCACTCACTGTATTGCTTTTCAAAGTGATCTCTAAAGGGTTTTGTAGGGAGAGGAGTCCTCCCAGCAGGCCTGGCTGCCGCCCTCTACAAGGCCTGTGTGTGGGGCTGTCCCTGGGCTGGCGTCCGGGAGCTGGGGTGTTGGGATGGGGGGCTCCCTGGGCCTCCCCTGCTGTGTCTGTGCTGACACCCTTCCCCACTCCCCGGGGCTGGAGTTCAGTGTGTGCCTGGCAGAGGGGCCTGTGGAGCCTGCGGGCCCGCAATGAGAGCCCCGGTTCTGAGTCTCTGACGAGCTTCCCTGGGGACAGCGTGTCGCTGGGGGGTGGAGTGCGGCCCGCATGACTCCACGGGATGGGGTTCTGGAAGCTGGCGCCTGTTTCCTCTGGACCTCGCCCACGGGCCCTCTCCCTTCAGTGGTTCTGCTTCACAGCCCTTCACTGTGATGGATCAGAGCCTTGAGTATACATGAGCCCTGCGTGTCCTGCTGGAAGCCCAGCGGTGGTCTTGGGGATCCCGACATGGGTTTTTTTCAGTGACAACCAGTGCTTTCCATTGTGAAGTCATCCCCCTGGCACAGTTCAGTTTAAATTCCTTTGCCCTTTTTGGTTGTTTCCTCTGTGCTGTCAGGCAGCCTCTATAGTATCAGGTTGGCCAAAAAGTTCCTTTGGGTTTTTCTGTAACATCTTATGGGAAAACCCAAACGAACTTTTTTGGCCAACCCAATACTTCAGACTAATGTGTTTTCTCCACACGGTGCTTTGTTCAAAATAAATTACTTGAGCGAGGATGGTGGATATGAGGGAAAACAAGCTGACAACGCTTCCTGGGGGAGAACTTTGCGTGGAGGGAGCTTGTGATCAAAGACGGGGCTGGACTAGGGGTCACGCAGCTGCCTTTCCACCCTCGGCTCTGCTCCTGGCTCAGTGCATGGCAGGGAGCTCTGGGGAGCTGGGCACTGGTCCTTGGACCACACCCTTGAGTGATTAGGGTCCAAGGGCTCTCCTCTTTCCATCCAGACAGGGAGGAAGCAGATTCTGCGGGAGTCCTGTGTTCCTCAAACCCGGGGTGGGATTAGCCTTGGCGAGATCGGAGTTGAGGAGGATACCAGCCCTGGGAAAGGCCTTCTGCTTTGGAAGGTTTCTTAGGCTGACTTTAAGGTTTGCTGCACAGAGGTAGTGTGTCTCCTTCACGTTGCCATTTGTGTGGCAACGAGAGACCCTTCCTGTGACGGTTTTGTTGTGAGTTACCTTTTCCTGTTTGGGTAGTAGCGGTGAGCAGTGTACATATGAGGATCTTTAACAGCGAGCCCTGTGTTCTTCCTCCTTAGGGCATTATTTCAAGGAGAACCACGGCAGCTTCCAGCATTCCCTGAACCACGGATCCGCCGGTGTAGTGAGCTATGCTCCTGGGCTCGGAAGCACATTGAGATGTACAGAGCGGGGGACCTGGGGGAGCGGCCGCTGCTCGGGACGGCGCCCCCCCGGATGCGGAGCGTGGAGGTGGCTAGAGGAAGGGCGGGGTACGGATTTGCGCTTTCCGGGCAGGCGCCCTGTGTGCTCAGCTGTGTCATGAGAGGCAGCCCTGCGGATTTTGTGGGCCTCCGTGCTGGCGACCAGATACTTGCTGTCAACGAGATCAACGTGAAGACAGCGTCCCATGAGGACGTGGTGAAGCTAATTGGGAAATGTTCTGGTGTCCTGCACATGGTGATTGGTGAGGGCATCGGCCACCTGGAGTCCTGCTCCAGTGATGAAGAGGTTGGGTTTTATGAAGGTAAAGGCTGGCTGAAGCCCAAGCTCGACTCTAAGGCGTTAGGTATAAACAGAGCAGAGAGAGTCGTTGAGGAAATGCAGTCCGGAGGGATTCTCAACATGATCTTTGAAAACCCTGGTCTTCGAGCAAGCAGTTCAGAGCCCTTGAAGTTGAAACAAAGATCCCTTTCAGAATCAGCCACTGGGCGATTTGACCTTGGCCATGAAAGTGTAAATAATCCAAATACCAGCCTGCTTTCTAAGGAGGAGATACCGAGAGTTGTGAATGATGATTCTGTTTTCAGCGTTGGGCTGGAGACTCACGAAGACTTTGGGGTGGACGCGAGCATTTTGAACGTGGCCATGGTTGTGGGCTACTTGGGCTCCATCGAGCTGCCGTCCACCAGCTGCAGCCTGGAATCAGACAGCGTGCAGGCCATCCGGGGCTGCCTGCGGCGCCTGCGGGCCGAGCAGAAGATCCACTCGCTGGTGACCATGCAGATCATGCACGACTGCGTGCAGCTCTGCACGGACAAGGCCGCTGTCCTGGCCCGATACCCGGCCGAGAGGCTGGCGTTCAGCGCCGTGTGCCCAGACGACAGGAGGTTTTTCGGGCTGGTGACCATGCAGGCGGCCGACGACGGGAGCCTGGCGCAGGAGGAGGAGGGTGCTTTGCGGACGTCCTGCCACGTGTTCATGGTGGACCCGGACCTGTTCAGTCACAAGATCCACCAGGGCCTCGCCCGGCGCTTCGGGTTTGAGTGCACGGCCGACCCTGACACCAACGGCTGCCTGGAGTTCCCCGCGTCCTCGCTTCCAGTCCTGCAGTTCATCTCCGTGCTATACCGGGACATGGGCGAACTGATTGAGGGTGTGCGGGCCCGGGCCTTTGCGGACGGGGACGCAGACGCTCACCAGAACACCAGCACCAGCAGCAACAGCGACAGTGGCATCGGGAACTTCACCCACGAGGACAGAAGCAGCCGGGTGCTCGTGCTGGACCTGGGCGCCAGCTCGAGCAGGCACGGCCCCAGCGGCAGCGCCTGGGAGGGTGTGGTCGGGCGGGGCTCCCAGCCCTGGGGCGGCCCCTGGAACGGGGCCTTCGGCCACGACCCCGAGGGGGCCCCGTTTGAGGCCGCTCCGCAGGCCGACAGGTGCCGGGACCTCGGTAAGCACCTGGGGCCCACTCCTCACGTGGAAGGCCCCCCGGCCTCCTTGCGGTGCTCGGTTCCTTCTTCCAAGAGGGGCGCCGCGGGCCCCGGTGGTGGCTTTGGCCAGCGGTGGCTCCCGGTCCACGTCCTGCAGGAGTGGCAGTGCGGGCACACCAGCGACCAGGAGTCTTACACGGACTCTACTGACGGCTGGTCCAGCATCAACTGTGGCACGCTGCCCCCTCCCATGAGCAAGATTCCCGCTGACCGCTACCGGCTGGAGGGCAGCCCTGTGCAGCCCGTGCCCAGCACCCAGAAAAGGGACTGGGCCAGGAAGGCTCTCGGGATGCAGAACATTTTCGGCCCCCATCGAAATGTTAGAAAGACTAAGGAAGACAAAAAGGTAAGCCTGTTAGGGGAGGGTCAGGAAAGGTGAGCGTGCTTTCATAACTCGGTCAGTTACTGATGTGAGACGGCACCTTCATTGCCCAGTTCCCAGTCCTGCCTTCCTCTGGCTGCCCTGGCGGCCTATGTCTGCTTCAGGGCACGTCTGCCTGGATTTGCCCTGGCTCTGGGCGGGGCGGGGCGGGACGTCAGGTGGGACAGGTGGTGGTGGCAGAGATGGTGACCTCCTGGCCAGGGTGAGGCCCTCCTCCCCTCTGCCCACCCTTTCCTGCTGCCGTGGTGTTCCGGAGGGGCCTGTTCCGGCAGCCCCTTTGAAGCCCACTTCGTCTCTGGCCCCAGTGGCTGAGGCCTCACGCCCTTTTGAAGCGAGAAAATTCTGGAAGCACAGAGACTGGTCGCTTCAGGACGGGGAGCTTCACTTTGGTGTTTCCTTCATTGAGAAAGTCCTGCTACAAGAAAAACGCCAGCTGAAGCCGGCAGTGGCTCGTGGCTTGAGCATCAAACAGCCGGGGGCGGGGCCGGGAGCTTGGTTCGGAGTCGGGGGAGGGACTCAGCACAGCAGGAGGGCTGGCCCTCAGCTGGGCTGGCTTGGAAGGAACCGTTCTCAGAGGACCTTTGTGATTTAAAACACCTTTTCTGGGTTTGTTCACATTTTTGTTCCCAGCAGCTGAAAATCCCACAGGAAAACCCTCCAAAGACTGGAGGAGTGCTGTGGCCTGGGCTGTGGAGTTTGTTGAACGTTTTGTTCAGGATCCGTCCCCTTCCCAAGTCTTACTATTTTTCATCGTAGAACACATCAGAGAAAACTTAAAGACGAAGGAAAGGACAGGCCTCCCCATAGTTTTAGCTCCCCTAAATGACCATGTAGCACTGTGATGTATCTAAGCATAGCTTTGTGCTTTTGAAAAAAACACAGTTGTAGTCACGCAGGTTTTGACTGAATTCCTACAGTGGCCGGGCTAGCGGGACTTCTGCCCTTGTGCACACCTTCCCTCCCGTTCCCTCGGTGGAACTGCATGGGCTGGGGTCTCCTTTCACCTGCGGTGTGGGCAGTGTGGGCGGCGTGGGCGGCAGCTTCGGCCTGGGCTTCCCTGGTTGGGGGAGGGCTTAGGGAGGGAAGGCCCTGGAAGGTGGCTAAAATGTTATCAGAAATTGGGGAATTCACCACCTCTTTTAACATAACCCACAAATGGGTTTTCTCCATTGCCACTGTGCATGTGAATTGTGTCACTGGCAGGAATAAATGGTGTTTGTCTGGCAGACTGCGGTGCACCCTCATGCCCGTTCACTTGGTGGCAAGTCTTAGACTCCCCACAGGGCCTCTGACCTCAGGAGACCCAGAGACAGGGTGCCGTGCTCCCTGCTCTCCAGGCGAGGTGACCGGTCCTTGAGGGCTAAGTGACTTGTCTAAGGCTCAGCAGTCAGGACGAAGCAGGTTCATGAGTCAAACCTCGGGCTTCGTCGTCTCTTTTGTTTTAAAGACTTTATTTTTAAGAGCAGTTTTAGGTTTATAATGAAATTGAGAGGAAGGCACAGAGAGTTCTCTCTACCCTCAAAGGCGTGCAGCCTCGCCACCATCAGCATCCCTCACCGGAGGGTACCTTTGTCACAGTCAGTAACCCTGGAGTCCATAGTTTATATTAGGGTCGCTGTCGGTGGTGCGCATTCTGTGGGCTTGAACAGATTATAGTGACGTGTATTCACCATTGTAGAATCAGACAGGGTGGTTTCACTGCCCTAAAAGTCCTCCGTGCTCTGCCTGTTCAGCCCTCCCCTGCTCTCCCCCAGCAACCACTGATTTTTTTCCCTGTCTCCGTAGTTTTGCCTTTTCCAGCTGTCATATAGTTGGAATCATAACAGTCTGTAGCCTTTTCAGATTGGCTTCTTTCACTTAGTGATATGCATTGAAGTTTCCTCCATGTCTTTTCACGGCTTGATAGCTCATTTCCTCTTTAGCACTGAGTACTATTCCGTTATCTGGAGGTACCACAGTTTATGTATCCATTCACCTTCTGAAGGACACCTTGGTGACTTCCAAGTTCCGGCAACTATGAGTAAAACTGTTGTAAACATCTGTGTGCATGCAGGTTTTGGTGTGGACATAAGTTTTCAACTCCTTTGGGTAAGTACCAAGGAGTGGGATTGCTGGCTCGTGTGGTGAGAGAATGTTTGGCTTTGTAAGAAACTGTCTTCCAAAGTGGCTGCGCCGTTTTGCATTCCCACCAGCAGTGATGAAAATTTCTGTTGCTTCACATTTTGGCCCCAGTTTGGTGTTGTCAGTGTTCAGGGTTTTTGCCATCCTGACACGTAGGTAGTGGCATCTCACTGTTGTTTTACTTTGCATCTCCCCTGATGACATGTGAGGTTGAGCATCTTTTCATATGCTTACTTGTCATCTGTATATTTTCTTTGGTGAGGTGTCTGTTAAGATCTTTGACCTATTTTTAACAGATTGTTTGTTTTCTTACTGTTGAGTTTTTTTTTTTTTTTTTAAGAAATAGGCCTTTAGTTCCTTTTTTTAAATATAAATTTATTTATTTATTTGTTTTTATTTTTGGCTGCGTTGGGTCTTCGTTGCTGTGTGCGGGCTTTCTCTAGTTGCGGCAAGCGGGGGCTACTCTTCCTTGTGGTGCGCGGGCTGCTCACTGTGGTGGCTCCTCTTATTGCGGAGCATGGGCTCTAGGTGTGTGGGCTTCAGTAGTTGTGACACGCGGGCTTCAGTAGGTGTGGCACACGGGCTCAGTAGTTCTGGCTCGTGGGTTCTAAAGCGCAGGCTCAGCAGTTGTGGCGCACGGGCTTAGTTGCTCCACGGCATGTGGGATCTTCCCGGGCCAGGGATTGAAACCGTGTCCCCTGCATTGGCAGGCGGATTCTTAACCACTGCGCCACCTAAGTTCTTTGTTTATTTTGAGTAGCAGTCCTTCATCAGATGTGTCTTTTGCAGATATTTTCTCCCATTCTGTGGCTCGTCTTTTCATTCTCTTGATATTGTTTTTCACAGAGTAGAAGTTTTAAATTTTAATGAAATCCAGCTTATCAATTCTTTCTTTGGTGGATCGTGCCTTTGGTGTTGTACCAAAAAGGCATCACTAAACCCACGGTCATCTGGGTTTCCTCCTGTGCTATCTTCTAGGAGTTTTATGGTTTTTTATTTTACATCCAGGTCTATGATCCGTTTTGAGTTAATTTCTGAAGGGTGTAAGGTCTGTATCTAGATTCACTTTTTTTTTTGCACGCGGATATCTCTTGTTCCAGCACCGTTTGTAGAAAAGACAATCATTGCTCCCTTGTATTGTCGTTGCCCCTTTGTCAGAGAGCAGTGGACTATACTTAGGAGGGCCTTGGGCTTCTTTTTTTTTTTTTCCTTGCGTTATGCGGGCCTCTCACTGTTGTGGCCTCTCCCATTTGCGGAGCACAGGCTCCGGACGCGCAGGCTCAGTGGCCATGGCTCACGGGCCCAGCCGCTCCGCGGCATGTGGGATCTTCCCGAAACGGGGCACGAACCCGCGTCTCCTGCATCGGCAGGCGGACTCTCAAGCACTGCGCCACCAGGGAAGCCCCTTGGGCTTCTTTTTAATGTTCTTTAACCTTCAACAAAAATGTAGTGAAAACCAAGGTATTGGCTGTTACTGCTTATCCTGTAACAAAGGAATGAAGTATTCGACGCGGGACTGATGTTTCCAGGGCTGGAAAGCAGCAGCGTAGCATTCCGCGTTCGCAGTGTGCTTTATTTCCTTATTTGCCCTATGAGCTCATTATCTTACTGACAAGGAGAGTAGGGTTTATACACATTGAGCGACTTGCCCACAGTCAGGTGGCGTTCCTTTCGTGACGTGATGGGACACATGATTTATCTAAAAATAAGTAGTAATAAAATTGTATTGTATTGCGTTCCAGCTCTAATCTCTGGAAGTGTATCCATTGGTCTTTGCTAACTGGGTTCCCCTGCATTATTAGTGCAGTCTAATCCCACAGCCCCTGCTGGAGCGGCAGAAGCTTCCAGGGTCCTCAGGTGGGCTGCCTGGTGTCCTTCCTGGCCTGGCTCGAGCTGGCTGGCGGCTTGTCAGGATGAGCGGAGGACAGGCCAGGAAGGGATGGAGGAAGGAAGTGCTGGAAATGCGAAGAGGAAGAGACGTTAGGAGCAGGGGGGGAGGGGCCAGAGGCTGTGGAAGGTCGAGCAGTCGGTGTCCGGAGTTACTGTCAGTTCCTCTCCGTGGTGACAGTGGCTTCAGTGTCTTACTCTGTGCAAAATCAGGCTGTGTCTGCCAGCATCTGGCCAGGAGACAGAAAACACACCAGCGATTTGAACAGGGAGACGTTAGCCTGAAGAATCGGTAGCCAGACCGGAGGTGGCCCCCTGCCAAGCGAGCGCTAACGGAACCCCAGGGAGAGGGCGGCAACCAGGCGGAGCCTTAGCAGCAAGGGGAGGAGGCCCTGGGGCTGCAGCCAGGGCTGCCCGGGGAACAGGCTGCCGGAGAAGGATGGCCCTGAGCAGGATGCGGGCACAGCCTGATCCCGCCGCCTGGAAAACAGCCCGACGGGCACCAGCGCAGCCCCGCTGGGAGAGCCGGCCGTCGAGCCCGCGCCGGCAGAGCACCGTCTGCAAGGCCCAGCTCCAGGGTCCGGCGCTGGCAAAGAGGTGTGCGCTGGGCGCTAAGAGGCGAGAGACTCGGCCGCCTGGCCCAGCCCAGCATCTGGCGCCCTCTGCACACAACATCTGATCTTCACGCAACCCGGGAACTCAGCAGGGCGCCCCGCGCAGCGCGCAGCTGTCCTGGGAGCGGAGATGCGCTCTCCCCTCCTTGCTGTTTGTTGTTGTTTGTTTAAGGGCTTTCCTGAGCAAATTCTGTCTGGTGCATTCTTTGTTGTGTGTGGCCACGATGTCTCGGCTTGGTTCGCTTAGAGGTCAGCTAGTGACGGGGCAGAGATTTCCTTCGATGCCTGGAGCCGGTCAGTCTCGGTCTTTGCCGAGGGGCCTGTGTGTGTGGAGCCTTCAGT